CTATCTCTCTCTCTCTCTCTCTCTCTCTCTCTCTCTCTCTCTCTCTCTCTCTCTCTCTTTCTATCTATCTATCTATTTATCTCTATCTTTCCCACCCCTTATCCTCCCCTTCTCTACCCATTTCGTTTCCCCTTTGGCCCTTCCCGCCTCACCCCATCGACTCATTAGGACCGTGAGTTAGCCACTATGAGTCATCACTATCATCATCACCTCCAGTCCGTGCCTTCAGCCTACAGAGGCATCACCACACAAGGCGAAACCATTAGGGTAATAGTGAGCCGTCGTGCCTGCGGTGATACACACACAAATTGTCGATTCGCTGCGGGAGGCTGATGGCGGCAGGTGGGGGTGTGGGGGTGTGGGGGAGTGGGGGTGTGGGGGTGTGGGAGGTAGGGTGGGTGGGGGTTCAAGGATGCTGTCGGATTCTTCTTAGGTTTTTTGTATTTTTTGCTCATCTTATTTTTTTCTTGGTTTCGTTTTTTTTTTTTTTTTTTCTTCCTTTTCTATTCGTCTGCCTTTTCTTTTCTTTAATATTTTTTGGTTTCTTTCTTTCTTCGCTTTCTGTTTCATTTGCCTTTTCTTCCTATATACTTTGTCCGCTTTCCCTTCTTTCTTTCTCTCTCTCTCTCTCTCTCTCTCTCTCTCTCTCTCTCTCTCTCTCTCTCTCTCTCTCTCTCTCTCTCTCTCTCTCTCTCTCTCTCTCTCACTCTCTCCAACATCCTTACCACTATCTTTTCTCCCCTTTTCTACCTCCGCTTCTATTACCTTTCCTCTCCTTCCCTTATCTACCCCCCCCCCTCCCAATTCCCCACTTTCCAACCTCCTCCCCCCCTCCTACCCGTCCCTCCTTCCCGATAAATACATAATTACGATAATGACAATATCCATTTGGGATAAATAGGATAATGGAAGAGACCAGTGAGGGGAAGGAGGGGGGGAGGGTAGAGGGGAAGGGGGTATCAGTGACCTCCTCCTCCTCCTCCTCCTCCTCCTCCTTCTCCTCCTCCTCCTCCTTATCCCCTCTCCCCCTCCTCCTGCACGAGGCCCCGCCCACCAGAAGCGGTATTAGCATAATCTCAAAGAATCGAACTTTGTCATTATCAAAAGCTCTGGAGCGTGTTAATACTAATCGATACTCTCCATTATGCTCCTTATTTTTTTTCTTCCCTTTCCCTTTTTTATCAAAACTCATTAGATTTGTTTAAAAAAAACGAAATGATAATGTATATAAAGAACATGGGTGAAGCTTAATCAATCACATTTCTTATACCTATAGATTTTTTTATACTCTCCATTATGCTCCTTCACTTTTTCTTCTTCCTTTTCCCTTTTTATCAAAACTCATTAGATTTGTTTTTGATTTGTTTTTTTTTTTCTTTTGTAAATTTTGACTTATGACGTTGTTATTACTTTTGCTATCGTTGATTTTACTTTGATATCGTTAGTATTACTACTACTATACTACTACTACTACTGTTATACTACTACAATCGTCATTATTGTTATAATCATTGTCATTGTCATTACTTTATTGTTATTATGAATATTATCTTATTTGTAACATTATTATCATTATTGTTAATATCATTACTACTACTACTACTACTACTACTAACTACAATCGTCATTATTGTTATAATCATTGTCA